AGGAGCGAGAGGGTAGGATTGTATCGGAATGAACAAGGGGGTTTTGCTTGCCTGGCACTTCTGAAGATAACATTGAGTCTTCATCAGTGTCAACGATCACATCATCGGTACACGTCTATCGAGAGGGGACAAATACCGGCAAATACAGAAAAGACACGATCAATGCAATGCACAATATGATGCATGCTATGACATGGCAATATGAATGTGTTTTGGGCTAATGCACCTAAAACCAGATTAAATGAAGTTGGTTTGAATACAAGATTCAAATTCAAACTCCATATGTGATTATTTAAATGCCCTTTAATTGATTTGTGCTAAACAGCAGCTATAAGTTGTTCTAACATGCATGAAAATGGTACAGATGGATTCCTTGAATTTTTCTGATAATTTTTCATATATAATTTATTTCATTTGGAGTTACGGTTAATTTTCTATGATTTATTGAAGTTTTAGCTATTTTCTGAAATTTCCTGAATAATATTAAATCCAGAAAATACTTATTGCGTCAGCATGACGTCAGCACGACGTCAGCGGGTCAACGCGGCTGTCCAGGGTCAAACCTGACGTGTGGGACCCACACGTCAGTGACAGGGGGTTAACCCCGAGTCAAACCTGGGCTGGTTAGCTTTGACTAAGCCCTGGGGCCCACTTGTCAGCGTCAGTAGGTGGGGGGGTTAGTGACTAATTAACTAAGCCACGTCAGCCCGCCGGAGTTCTGGCCGGCGGCGACCATTAGCGCGGCGGCGACTCGCCGGACTTGCATTTCAGACAGCGTTTGATCGCGCGAAGACCACCGGGGCGTAGCCCGTCTTCGTCCGCAACCAGGGGAGCTGATGGGGGGGCTGCGGGGGCGCCGGAGCTCGCCGGAGCAAGCTTGCGGCGGCGGTCGGAGCTCGGCTGTGTTCGGGGACGCGGCTGCAGCGTGCAAACGAGCGAACTAAAGCGCTAGCGGGGCACTACGAGGTGCGGCGAGAGTGCTAGGTGCACTGGCGTGGCCAAAAGGTCGCCGGAGCAACGCCGGCGACAAGCTCGAGCGGAGGCGAGCTTCGGCCATGGCGGAGCTAAGGCCTAGACAGCGCAAACGGACACGGGGAGGAGGGGGTTCGGTGCGGGGGCTCACCGCGGAACCAGCGAGCGCGAGGGCGAGGTCGGGGATGCCCGGTAGCTCCCGAATCGCCGGCGAGGATCCACGGCGGCCGGAGTCGAATTTGGCGACGGCGACGGCTCCACGGGGTGTCCGGAGGGGCACGGCTTGACGGGGAGCTTCAGGGCGGAGGAGCGGAGCTTCCGCGTGTGTCGGGGAGGCGAGGGGAGGCCGGTGGCTACGGTGATGCCCGTCGGCGGCGGCGGTGGTTCTCGGGTGAGAGGGAGAGAGAGCAGGGGGAGAAGAGGAGGGCGAGGGAGAGTGAGAGCGGTGCGGGGCAGCTGCGTGGCTTCGTCCGGGGCATCGAGGGAGTCCGGGGAAGCAGGAGGTGGCCAGCAGGGGGGGAGGTGGCGCGCGCGCGTGCCGGCGAGCGTCGGGCACACGCCGTTCCCCTATCGGGGAGGAAGACGACAGAGGGGGGGAGTAGCGGTGGGTTGGGCCAGCGGGAGGAGCTGGCCAGCTGGGCCGGCTACAGGTAAGTGGCCCAGGTAGGCTTCTGTTCTTTTTATTTTTTCTTCTGTTTTGTTTTATTTAAACTTTTGCCACTGTTTTGAATTAAAAAATAATAATTCAAACAATGCCAAAAACTCCTCTGAATATTTTATATTGCTAGATGGACTTTTCCAAAAGCTTATAAATATTTCGGGGGTATTTGAAATTATATTCTAATTATATGAATATAATTCAAATTCAAATAGCTAATGAATTAAATCCAAAGTCCCAAAAATAAATCCTTAAAAATGTTCAATATTTTGGTTGGGACCAGAACCCTTACCAAAAATTATCAAACATTTAAGAAGAGCATTTTGGAGCAATGAATGAGATTTCTAGGGTTTTTGCCCCTCTTTTATTTAAGGTTTTTGAGGCTTCCAATACTCCTCAATTCAAGTTTCAGAATTTAAACATGATGCACACATGAAGCTAGCCTAGAGCATTACCAGAAGCTAGGGATGTGACATAATGGGACACTTTGGCGTGAAGAAGACGGAGGACGTACTTGCTACACATTTCTTTTGGCCAAAGATGAGACGGGATGTTGAGCGTTTTATTGCTCGCTGCACTACATGTCAAAAAGCTAAGTCACGACTCAATCCTCATGGTTTATATATGCCTTTGTCTGTACCTAGTGTTCCTTGGGAGGATATATCTATGGACTTTGTTTTAGGTTTACCTCGAACAAAGAAGGGGAGGGATAGCATATTTGTTGTCATGGATAGATTCTCGAAAATGGCACACTTTATACCATGTCATAAAAGCGATGATGCTGTTAATGTTGCTGATTTGTTCTTTCGTGAAATTATTCGCTTGCATGGTGTGCCAAATACTATTGTTTCAGATCGTGATACTAAATTTCTTAGCCACTTTTGGAGATGTTTATGGGCTAAGTTGGGGACTAAACTGCTTTTTAGTACTACTTGTCACCCCCAAACTGATGGACAAACTGAAGTAGTCAATAGAATGTTGTCTACTATGCTTAGGGTTGTTTTGAAGAATAATAAGAAAATGTGGGAGGAATGCTTGCCTCATATTGAATTTGCTTATAATCGTTCATTGCATTCTACTACTAAGATGTGCCCTTTTGAAGTTGTGTATGGTTTCCTACCTCGTGCACCTATTGATTTGTTGCCTCTTCCATCTTCGGAGAAGGTTAATTTTGATGCTAAACAACATGCTGAATTGATTTTAAAAATGCATGAGTTAACTAAGGAAAACATTGAGCGTATGAATGCTAAATATAAACTTGCTGGAGATAAGGGTAGAAAACATGTTGTGTTTGCACCTGGAGATCTTGTTTGGTTACATTTGCGTAAGGATAGATTTCCAGATTTGCGCAAATCAAAGTTAATGCCACGTGCTGATGGTCCATTTAAGGTGTTAGAGAAAATAAATGATAATGCATATAAACTTGAGCTGCCTGCAGATTTTGGGGTTAGTCCCACTTTTAACATTGCAGATTTGAAGCCTTATTTGGGTGAGGAAGATGAACTTCCGTCCAGGACGACTTTATTTCAAGAAGGGGAGGATGATGAGGACATCAATACAATTGTTACACCCACAGCCCCTGCTGCTATAAATACTGGACCAATTACTAGAGCTCGCGCACGCCAACTAAATTACCAGGTACTTTCGTTTCTTGGTAATGATTCTAATGTTCATGAGAATATGATGCTGCCTAAATTGGATACATTTGTTTTTCTTACAAATGAAGGGCCTAGCTTGGAGAAGGATGAACATTGGATTAAGAACAAGCATGGAGATGATGGCATGCGCAAGGGGAACAAGAACGGAGTTACAAGTGATGATTTCAGGACTTTGAAGCCACCATAATGGGTGCATGAAGCCTTGGACGAAATATACAAGATGCCACTTCATAAATTTCGTCCCGAGGCTATTATAGGTGTTGCGTCACCTTATTGTTGGGCCAGGCCCATGTAATTTCGAAATACATAAGTATAGGCTATTTTTAGTCCGTATGTGTGGGGAAACAAGAGATAGGGTTGATTTCGGACCCCTCCACCAAGGGTCACGAAATTCCCCCCTCTTCCTCCATATATACAGCCCTTAGGACATCGTTTAGACTTTGGGTTTTGTTTAGATTAAAAGTTCGCCATAGCTGCAACTTCGCGTACTTCGTTTGTGTTCAACAACCAGACAAAGGCGTCACAAAACCCCACCTTGATCAATAAAGCTTTCATCTTATATTCGCAATATCCAGATTGCAATCTCAGTTTCTTGCTTGTTCTTCGTTTGATCGTAGGAAACAGACCCTCGTGGTCAGGTTGATCGTGCTCCGGCGTGGTCAATAACCTCTCGGAGTTGGTTTAGCGATTGCTAAGGCGCGACGTCCTCGCACGTTTGTAGTCGGATCGTCAAAGTCGACTGCCACCAAAGCGATATCCATCATCTCATCGAAAGACGGGACACCTTTGTCTCTATCAAAGTCCAAATGGTACGAAACTTGACAGGCGGTCTACCGATAGTAAACCAAGGCCGCTTGGCAAGTCTCGGTCCAATCCGGAAATGTTTAACCCCCACACATGAAAGAAAGGTAAAAATGACCACCGGAGGAGAACGGAGCGCCGGATTGCAAAACGGACAACGGGGAAAATGCTCGGATGCATGAAACGAACATGTATGCAAATGACATGCACATGATGACATGATATGCAATGCATGACACGGAAGCAATGACAAGGCAACAACAACGAATAACTGGAGGACACGTGGCACATCGGTCTCGGGGCGTTACACCAGGCCACTTTTTTCTGTTGATAATATCTCTAGTTAGGACTTCATTCAGAGAAGTTGCCACAGAAAAATCATCATCTTAAGATGAATTTTAACTTTCCATACCATTTTATAATTAGCATTGTGCAAAAGAAAAACTACTAACCGGGGTTATGGTAAGCCTGTCATGGCTGCACAGATTGGAAGGAGCTGTAGGAGTAGATGTCGACGAAAGCACTGGTGTTGATGCTGCTCGAGTCCATGACCCTGGTTTGATGGCGACCCCCTTGCCTGTCGAGGTACACAAAATGACGTTGACACCGTCATGGAAATGGCGCGACACACCCCGCTCTATCGTCTTCATGGCCTCTTTCAAGAAAACATGGACTAATCGGTTTGCTATACCATGCACAAATTATTTCACAAAACCTTGGCATTATTTCATCTGTCTAACAGGTCATTATATGTAGAATAAAACCCCCATGGTGGGATGGTCAAATGGTACTGATATATTAGAACCTACCATTCTCAGGTTCTTGAAGACAATTTGCACAGCAGCAGCCTCACTGAGATGCTCTCAAAGACCATCGTAGGCAAATATCAGAAAGTGGTCAATTGGTTTGAGCTAGCGAACATGAATTTGTGGTTCAGCGGTAAGAGCTAGCCTCTTCAATGCAATAACAAGGCCAATTTTCTGAAATATTCGGTCCATGTTGTACTCCGACTTCTTCAAGTAAATATCACCAATGGATCTTACACCTGATAGTACATCAATCAAATGTTAGCTCATGTTATCTATCTATCTTTTGCTCTGCTTTGTATTGAACTTCATATCACAAGTTCTCCTAAGAGGACAAACTAACTAATGAGTGATGACAAAAAATGCCAAGCATAAGCTAATCACCAAACAATGACAAGTTTATTAGGTCTAGAACGATAAATAGAGTATCTTATCACTAAAAGTGAAAGAGTAAATATGGACTGTCATACCAGGAATCCAGGATTCAGCATACTATATATGCAAAGTTGCAGCCACCAGGATTGCTACAATAGAGTGTCAATTTTAGTATTCGCTTGATAACAGGAAAATTCTTCAGTACGTTAAGCAAGTTTCCAAGAACACAGTGAAAATCTTTTTAATTGGGATAGTTACCATTTTTGAAATATGGCATACTTCATCTAACCCCTTACACACCCTCAACTTATTAACAAACCTAACTAAAATGAAGGTCGACGGTCAATTTCTTTCCAATTATTACCTAGAAACAAACTCAAAAGTCAAGGACATTAGTTAAATTCCAGGATATGACATCTAATGGCTCTATGCTATAAATTAGGCAGCTCTAAATCTCTGATATAATTTCATTACAATTATTCATATACCAGATTTCAGTGTGCAAACAAACTACCCAAAATCATAATGCAGACAAACCGGCGAAAAACCAACAGCTCCAAATGTTACCATCAATCAGTGATTTTTGCCTGTAATCTCTGACAGGGAGGCATGAAACTAATCAGATGGAATGGTATATTTATCGCGGTCTCATCTGAATCCCACTGTAAATAAACAAAATTATACGCACTTGCCCAAGGATATCATTCAATGTTCTAATGGATAAAACCTCAAGAATATGCAGGACTTCACATCTTAGAAAATACAGGAATACTAAACCAGGATCGCTCCATTTTTTGGAAGAACCGAAGGCTGGCCCAATGATACCAACATCAATCATGTCACCCCGACACGAAAATCAAAAATCAATCATCACACTGCCTACCATGTTTTCTTCCATTTTGAGTCACCAACTTCGCTAATGAAAATTGCCTACTCGGATAAATAAAAAAACCACATTTCAATTTGAAAGGAAATCATATCAAACATAGAGAAAACCTTCTGACGCTCCAAGTCACGTCCACAGAATCGGCCATCACGTGATAGCCAGCTGCTCTTTCAACCCATGGTGATTCTGAAATCATCCTATGGTTTTCCTAAAAGAGCAAAAAAGAAAGGTATATAAGTTACAAGAAAATGCACACATGCAAAATTAGCCGGCACATGCAACTTTGTTTTTTCAAAATCACTAATATAAATTACAATGGCATGAGACAACTTCGCTGCTAAACCAAAGTGTCCAGATTTTCTTTATGCCTACAGAAGTTAAAAAATGGAACAACTTCATCAAGAAAATGTTTCTCTTCAGTGCACTTATCAAGCTTTGGTGTAACGTTCAGAGCGTATCATGCAGTAGTAGAAACTTATAATTAATTCTATTTGATTTCTAGTAGAAGTGACTTATATCGGTAGTACATTATCTCAAAACCAGAGTCACAATGAACTTATAAGCTGATAATAAACGTCGATCAGATCATTGTACTCTCTGACAATCTAAAAGAGAGAAGGAGCAGATTTGTCAAAGAAAATGCACAGAAACATACCATAGATTACATCTTAACTTTCATGTTCAATAGAGCTTCATCCATTACTGCACCACCATTACATATCAACACATGGCATCTTCTTTGGACATAATACATGATGGATGTAGCCATCACGAGCATAATCCCAAACCTTTGGCATTTCTAATTCAAGTGAAAAGTGGTGCTCGGTTTCTCTCCAGTGTTCAATAACATGACTGTTGGGCTGGCATGGAGTGGAGCGGGGTGAGGCACTGCAATTATCCAAAATTTCACATGCTATCAAGTTATAATAGTAAAGCTTGCCAGAATAAAGATGTGAAAATGACTTCTATGTATCAGCCCACATGTAAAACATACAAGATTTATTCTGCCCCACAGAGATTAAACCAATGTGATATGTAGAACCCAAAAGACAAAACACTTATTTTTATGAAGAGGCAACTCCTTAAATGAATGTACGAAACACAAGCATTAAGCAGGGAATCAGCTGAATAAGAGTTCTTTAACATGGAGTAGGGAGAGATCAAGTCTGCTTATTTTATCCTATCTCAAAGCGCAACTTATGTGACTTGAAAATTATACTACTCCCTCCTTCGGAAATTCATGTCGCTCAAACGGATGTATCTAACACTGAAATATGTTTAGATACATCCATTTGAGCATTAAGATTTCTGCACGAAGGTAGTACTATTTTTTTTCTCAAATATGAGCTCAACGGTATAATAACCTGTATTAAGTATAACCCACATTTGGTTTGTTAAATTGATGGTCAAAGTTAGATTTTGAAAGGTGTGTGGGCTTTTTCGTCACAATTGTGTGTATGTTCTCCCTGAATGATGTAGTGTCATAAAATAATTTCTCTACATAAACTTAAAGTAGGAACACAATAGTTTACCAAATGTACACAATTCTGAAAGATAATTATTCACCTTCAAATAGCATGGAAAATATAAAATAAGATGTGAATAGTTTGATAAGAAACCTCTTGCCAAGTCAGTAGACATTATTGTAAGTCATTGCATTTTATCTACAACTCCATGATCCTCATTATAATCTGGAAGATGGAATTGCAAAGTAACACTCATGGGTCCCCAGCTTCTAAGTAGGCTAATTGATTTCTTAAAATATTTTTTAAGTGGAAAAGAATGAACCAAGACATGACTACGTATTACACACCCATCCTTCTTTCTTGGAGCCTCTATACATAGAGACCACATATGAATAGAAATTAGCACGAACTGTTCGCCTAATTGGTTCAGACTCAATATTGACAGAAGGAAATGCCACAATACATGCTTCTCATGCACTGAATATTTATGTGCAAACAAAAATCAGACAACACCAAATTTGACAAGTGAATGCCTAAATATCTAAAGCATCAGTCCACGTCAAAAAATCAGTCCACATACTTCAGTTTGTAAAAACTAAAGCAAATGTCTAAATACCTGCATCTAATACAGTAGAAATACAGATGAAGAAGCCAACTTCAGTTTGATGATTCGTAGATACCTGATTATCGTTGTATTGGCCAATAAGTTGGGAATGTTAACTGAAGCCTCGTCGGTTGTGGCTGTGATTTGATTATGACAGGGGACGGGAGCCCAAGAGACTCTGGCACGCCGCCGCCGCCCCGTCTTTCCACTCCCCATGTGGTGCCTGCCGCCGCTGCTAGGACCTCGCGAAGTCCTGAGGTCGATGAAGTGCGGTCGCCATTGGATCGGACCAGGAGATGGGTTAGAGAGACACGGATCTGGTGTAAGCAAGGGTGGGGGTGGCCAGATCGGCACCATGGCGCTTGCCGCAGCTCTCCTCTTGTCTAGTTCAACCGCTCGCTGGGCATGGGAGAGGCGGCAGGGCCATGCGGGCCAAGCGAGCTGCAAGCCCGGCAGCGAGGGGCGGCGAGGAAGCGAGAGGCGGCGAGGAGTCGTGCGCGGGGGGGGATGGGGGCCGTGGGGCTGTGCGGTTTCAGGAGCGAGGGGCAGGGCGTGGGGTGGGGAGCGTTTTTTTTCTTTTTGAGAAGGGGCGGGTAGGATTAGCGATTGATGGCGCGGCGTGGCTTAATTGCGTGGCTTGTTGCGTTAAACATAGAGGTGTTTTAGACCTTTGGATATAATAGATAGAGAGTTCTAGTTATTTGGATCTTTCCCTCTCTTCCTTTTATAGTGGTAGTAGATTAGTGTTTGTGTCAAGTAGAACCGTTGGGAAGACTTGGGGAAAGTCTTGTTAAACTAGCTGTAAAAAAACAGAAACTTTAGCGCTCACGAGAACTGCTGTCATTTTTATTTGAAGAGTGTTATTTAGTTAATTATTTTTGAAGATGATCAATAGATAAATTCCTCACGTCCAGCAATTTATTTTAGAATTTTTGGGGTTCCAGATCTTGCGCTAGCTACAGATTACTACAGACTGTTCTGTTTTTGACACATTCTGTTTTTCGTGTGTTGTTTGGTTATTTGATGAATCTATGGCTAGTAAAATAGTTTATAATCCATATAGAAGTTGGAATACAGTAGGTTTAACACTAATATAAATAAAGAATGAGTTCATTACTATACCTTGAAGTGGTCTTTTGTTTTCTTTCGCTAACGGAGCTCACGAGTTTTCTATTTTGAATTTTATGTTGTGAAGTTTTCAAGTTTTGGGTGAATTATTTTGATGGATCATGGAAGAAGGAGTGGTAAAAGCCTAAGCTTGGGGATGCCCATGGCATCCCCAATATAATCCAAGGACACCAAAAAGTCAAAGCTTGGGGATGCCCCGGAAGGCATCCCCTCTTTCGTCCACTTCCATCGGTAATTTACTTGGAGCTATATTTTTATTCACCAACATGATATGTGTTTTGCTTGGAGCGTCTTGTATTATTTGTGTCTTTGTGTCTTAGTATGCCACAATCATCCTTGATGTACACACCTTTTGAGAGAGCCATACATGAATTAAAATTTGATAGAATACTCTATGTGCTTCACTTATACCTTTTGAGCTAGATAATTTTGCTCTATGTGCTTCACTTATATCTTTTGAGCGTAGTAGTTTTGCTCTATGTGCTTCACTTGTATCTTTTGAGCTAGATAGTTTTGCTCTATATGCTTCACTTATATCTTTTGAGCGTTATAATTTTGCTCTATGTGCTTCACTTAGATTTTTTAGAGCCCGGTGGTGGATTTGTTTTAAAGAAACTATTGATCTCTCATGCTTCGCTTAAATTATTTTGAGATTCTCTTAATAGCATGGTAATTTGCTTAATAATAATATGCTTGGTATTCAAGATTTGTGAAACTTTCTTTTAAGTGTGTTGAATACTAAGAAAAGATTGAAGCATGATAATTGTTTTGAGATATGGAGGTGATAATATTAAAGTCATGCTAGTTGAGTAGTTGTGAATTTAAAGAATACTTGTGTTAAGGTTTGTGATTCCCGTAGCATGCACGTATGGTGAACCGTTATGTAACGAAGTCGGAGCATGATTTATTTATTTATTGTCTTCCTTATGAGTGGTAGTCGGGGATGAGCGATGGTCTTTTCCTATCAATCTATCCCTCTAGGAGCATGCGCATAATACTTTGCTTTGATAACTTCTAGACTTTTGCAATAGGTATATGAGTTCTTTATGACTAATGTTGAGTCCATGGATTATACGCACTCTGACCCTTCCACCTTTGCTAGCCTCTCTAATACCGCGCACCTTTCGCCGGTATCATACATGTACCATATACCTTCCTCAAAACAGTCACCATACCTATCTATTATGGCATTTCCATAGCCATTCCGAGATATATTGCCATGCAACTTTCCACCATCTAGTTCATCATGACACATTCATCATTGTCATATTGCTTAGCATGGTCATGTAGTTGACATAGTATTTGTGGCAAAGCCACCATTCATAATTTCTTCATACTTGTCACTCTTGATTCATTGCATATCCCGGTACACCGTCGGAGGCATCCATATAGAGTCATACTTTGTTTTAGAATCAAGTTGTAATCATCGAGTTGTAAATAAATAAAAGTGTGATGATCATCATTCAATAGAGCATTGTCCCAATAAAAAAAGAGAAAGGCCAAAGAAAAAAAAGAAGGCCCAAAAAAGAAAAAAAAAGAAAATGGGGCAATGCTACTATCTTTTTTTCCACACTTGTGCTTCAAAGTAGCACCATAATATAGCAAGTCTCATATATTGTGCTTCAAAGTAGCACCATGTTCTTCATATAGAGAGTCTCATATGTTGTCACTTTCATATACTAGTGGGAATTTTACATTATAGAACTTGGCTTGTATATTCCAATAATGGGCTTCCTCAAATTGCCCTAGGTCTTTGTGAGCAAGCAAGTTGGATGCACACCCACTAGTTTCTTTTGTTGAGCTTTCATACATTTATAGCTCTAGTGCATCCGTTGCATGGCAATCCCTACTCACTCACATTGATATCTATTGATGGGCATCTCCATAGCCCGTTGATACGCCTAGTTGATGTGAGACTATCTTCCCCTCCTTTTTGTCTTCTCCACAACCACCATTCTATTCCACCTATAGTGCTATATCCATGGCTCACGCTCATGTATTGCGTGAAGATTGAAAAAGTTTTGAAAAAGTTAGAGTATGAAACAATTGATTGGTTTGTCATCGGGGTTGTGCATGATTTAAATACTTTGTGTGGTGAAGATGGAGCATAGCCAGACTATATGATTTTGTTGGGATAACTTTCTTTGGCCATGTTATTTTGAGAAGACATAATTGCTTTGTTAGTATGCTTGAAGTATTATTATTTTTTATGTCAATATAAACTTTTTTCTTGAATCTTTCTAATCTGAATATTCATACCACAATTAAGAAGATTTGCATTGAAATTATGCCAAGTAGCACTCCACATCAATTTTTTTTATCATTTACCTACTCGAGGACGAGCAGAAATTAAGCTTGGGGATGCCTGATACGTCTCCAACGTATCTATAATTTTTGATTGCTCCATGCTATATTATCTACTATTTTGGACTATATTGGGCTTTATTTTTCACTTTTATATTATTTTTGGGACTAACCTATTAACCGGAGGCCCAACCTAGAATTGCTGTTTTTTGTCTATTTCAGTGTTTCGAAGAAACGGAATATCAAACGGAGTCCAAACGGAATAAAATCTTTGGGAACGTGATTTTCTCACCGAACGTGATCCAGGAGACTTGGACCCTGCTCCAAGGAACAAAAGAGGCGGTCACGAGGGTGGGGGGCGTGCCCCCTACCTCGTGGGACCCTCGTTGCTCCTCCGGTGTACTTCTTCCTCCTATATATACACACGTACCCCCAAACGATCAGAACAGGAGCCAAAAACCTAATTCCACCGCCGCAACTTTCTGTATCCACGAGATCCCATCCTGGGGCCTGTTCCGGAGCTCCGCCGGAAGAGGGCCGTCATCACGGAGGGCTTCTACATCATCATAGCCTCTCCGATGAAGTGTGAGTAGTTTACCTCAGACCTTCGGGTCCATAGTTAGTAGCTAGATGGCTTCTTCTCTCTCTTTGAATCTCGATACAAAGTTCTCCCCATCTCTTGTGGAGATTTATTCGATGTAATCCTCTTTTTGTGGTGTGTTTGTTGAGATCGATGAATCGTGGGTTTATGATCAAGTCTATCTATGAATAATATTTGAATCTTCTCTGAATTCTTTTATGTATGATTGGTTATCTTTGCAAGTCTCTCGAATTATCCTTTTGGTTTGGCCAACTAGATTGGTAGTTCTTGCCATGGGAGAAGTGCTTAGCTTTGGGTTCGATCTTGCGGTGTCCTTACCCAGTGATAGAAGGGGCAGCAAGGCACGTATTGTATCGTTGCCATCGAGGATAACAAGATGGGGTTTATTTCATATTGCATGAATTTATCTCTCTACATCATGTCATCTTGCTTAAGGCGTTACTCTGTTTTTAACTTAATACTTTAGATGCATGCTGGATAGCAGTCGATGAGTGGAGTAATAGTAGTAGATGCAGAATCATTTCGATCTACTTGTCACGGACGTGATGCCTATATACATGATCATGCCTAGATATTCTCATAACTATGCTCAATTCTGTCAATTGCTCAACAATAATTTGTTCACCCATCGTAGAATACTTATGCTCTTGAGAGAAGCCACTAGTGAAACCTATGGCCCCCGGGTCTATTCTCATCATATCAATCTCCATCACTTTAATCTTGCTTTGCTTTTTTTACTTTGTCTTTACTTTTTACCTTGCATCTTTATACCAAAAATATTATATCTATCAGATCTCACTCTCGTAAGTGACCGTGAAGGGATTGACAACCCCTAATCGCGTTGGTTGCGAGTAGCTATCGTTTTGTGCAGGTACGAGGGACTTGAGCGTGGTCTCCTACTGGATTGATACCTTGGTTCTGAAAAACTGAGGGAAATACTTACGCTACTCTGCTGCATCATCCCTTCCTCTTTGGGGAAAACCAACGCAAGCTCAAGACATAGCAAGAAGGATTTCAGCAGCTCGCCCAGTTATTTTTGTTTTGGGTTAATTTGAAAAATGCCACTCCAAATCTAGTGTTTCCGAGAAATGCCACTGCAATTTCCAAATCTTGAAAATGCCATTTCATGCCATTTCCAGTGGCACTTTTCAAAGTCTGGAGTGCGTTTTTCAAAGTTTGCAAA